AGGCTGCAAGGAAACATCTTGGAGCAGTCCGGTTGTTAACGCGCCCCTCGCTCGGTGACCAGGGTTTTCCTGGGTTATCGTGCTGCCCTGGACGCTGTGTCGTGGCACCGGCTGCGGTCTTCTGCTGCACAATGTTACAATTTAATTGGCAAAGAAGGCCAGTTTCGGGGTTTCCTTGCCAGGAAGCGCTGGGCAGAGGATGCTGGAGGATCAAACATTTCCTTGCAGCGAATTTTGCACTCGAGCATGGAAATGGGAGCAAAGGGAGGCACTGGGAGAAGCTTTTGCTTGTTGGGCTGGAGCTATGACAAAAATATTTTCAGTATTATTTTGAGAGATGATTCCGTTGTTGTTTCATTTTTAGTAAATGCGTGCTTTATTTTTACTTGTCTAGATGTTTCAAGGGGAAATAAGCTTAAACTGATGCTTCAAAAACGTGAAGGTAAGTAAAGGGACAGCGAAGAGCTTTCCCTTCTCTGTCCTTTGAGACAAAGCTGCCGACGCGCTGTCGCTCTGCCTCCGGCTCGAGCAGGGCGGTCAGAGGTGCGGCGTGCCAGCACCCAGCCAAAGCTGGGAGCGCACAGCCGCCCTCCCTGCGTACCCCAGCGAAACCTCGGTCCCTCCTGGTCCGTTCTGGACTCGGCGCTGGCAAGGCTGGAGGCTCCGCTTCTCGCAGCCCCCTCTGCAGAGCAGGGTTCCCAGCCTCGGGCAGTGCGCCCGCGTTCCGCTCCGCGCAGCGTGCAGCACCTGCTTTCCCCGCGTGCGCATGGCAGACGTGGCGTTTGTCTGGTTTATTCTGGGAAGCCGTGAGATTTTCCAAGGAATTATAACGCGTGGAAATGCTGCTGGCTCGGGTGCGGAGGAGAAAGTGAGCAAACCGGGCTTGCTCGCGATGCCTTGACTTGTTGCCATTGTCCTCCTGGCCCCACGTGTGCCTCTTTCTTGGAAGGCTGCTCTCTCTGCAGGAGAGATGATGGCCAAGGGCCCAGCGGGCGGATGCACCAACGCCTTGCTGGTTGAGGGAGGGGGA